AAAAAAAAAAAAAAAAAATATTTTCAGATTTTATAACATTTGAAAAAATTGAACCAAACACCAACCAAAAAATCCCTTTGGCAATGAGAAGAACCATGCTTAGGGTGCTAAAACCATAATGAGATAAAGCCACACACTGCAGTAGAGCTGATCAGCACGGCCTCACAGGCTGGGTGGAGAGGAGGCCTGCAGGAAGAGCTCACCGACGCCCTGGGTGGGGCTGCCACGCACTCTGCTTCTACATCGTTTCAAGTTGCACAATCAAACAGAGAGATTGGGAAGGACTAATCCAAGCTCAGCACCCGGGGACTTTAATTCTTTTCTACAGCTCACAACCGGGGGCTACCGAGCCGAGAAGGGAGCGGAGCACCGGGGTCACCCTGGGTTGTGGCAGCATTTCTGAGTGGCACTTCAGAAGACAGCTGCTCACACACGCCCTTCACACTCCAGTCAGTACAATCAGGCACTTCTGACGCACACGCAGCCAGGAAATCCTGATCGTTCATGGTATCTCTGCTCTGCCGAAGAGGAGGCTGCACTTTCATGGAGCGAATGGAAAGGACCACTCTGTAGGGCTTTTCCCCCCCTTCATTATGTGTCAAGTCATTTGGAATCAGGAAATGTAAGCAACAGTCTTGTTTCCTTAACTGTACCACCTTCTGCAGGAACTTACTATGTGTGAAGTAAGAATGCCAGGAGAAGCAGTGAGGGCAAGGAGAAGCAGTGAGGGCGAGGATGAGCAGTGAGGGCGAGGAGAAGCGGTGAGGGAGAGGATGAGCAGTGAGGGCGAGGATGAACAGTGAGGTGAGGAGAAGCTGTGAGGGAGAGGAGAAGCAGTGAGGGTGAGGAGAAGCAGTGAGGGTGAGGATGAGCAGTGAGGGAGAGGATGAGCAGTGAGGGAGAGGATGAGCAGTGAGGGAGAGGATGAGCAGTGAGGGTGAGGAGAAGCAGTGAGGGCGAGGATGAGCAGTGAGGGTGAGGAGAAGCAGTGAGGGTGAGGAGAAGCTGTGAGGGTGAGGAGAAGCTGTGAGGGTGAGGAGAAGCTGTGAGGGTGAGGAGAAGCTGTGAGGGTGAGGAGAAGCTGTGAGGGTGAGGAGAAGCAGTGAGGGAGAGGATGAGCAGTGAGGTGAGGAGAAGCAGTGAGGTGAGGAGAGGCAGTGAGGGAGAGGATGAGCAGTGAGGGAGAGGATGAGCAGTGAGGGAGAGGATGAGCAG